CAACAAACGAAACACACAAAGCAGCTCTCAATAAATGAGTTTTCAATCTAGATTTTTAAAAGTGCATAGCTCCAGTGGCTTCCTAATATCGGAAGAGCGTTCCACTCTGGCGAGACCCTCTGAATCAAGTCCATGCTTTCCGACAAAACATCTGATTCAGTTGGGTTGAGTTCAATGCTGGCCATGTTAAAATCGTTCTTCACTCTCGGCATCGCCCATGTTTCTAGATAAGCACAACTTATTATTACGTGTATGTACGTTGAACTTCTTTCGAATCGTACGTAGCGAACCGTGCTAATCGGAGGTGCGGTGGACCTGGTGGCCGTGTTATCAACCATGTGTTTTTTAGTCCAAACCTTACTTTCCTGATCCATGAGAATACACTTATTATGTAAGTTGTTCCACTCTGGAACTCAAGTATGTGGTCATTTTAGGCGTTGACGCTGATCGTCCCTTTCACCTACAGTACGATATAAATATTTTACTTGTCCAAATTCGTGGTCAACACCCACAGTGTCCGAACAGTGATTTATGTGGTGGCTGTCATGAGGAAAAAAAAACATCTCCTCACTGAACCTCTTGCCGAATGACATAAGGGCCAGATTAATTAAACATGGTTCAAGCAACACATTGGAATCGTATGGCATGGACCATTTCATGTGTAAAAAAAATAAAACTTAGAGGGGTGGAAAATGTGGTTACACCTGCAGAAATAATAAAAAATAATTTAGTGCCACACGGGAAAGTGGAGCCTGCTCGTTTGACTTTCACGGTACAAGAGCCGTCACCATCGCTCTTGACTGTTTATTTAAGGTATAATACAGATCAATTGTGGCTCTTCACCATCCACACTTATGGTTGTTTTATGTGTCAATAAACTCACGTGTGCATCCCAATACAAATGAAAAAAACATTCCACGACACGGCAAAAATGTAAGCTCAAGAGTGATGCCCATGATTACACTATGTTCAATCAGCTGTTTCAAATACGTTCAATTCCACGAAATGTAATTGGATGTCACTAAACATAAGGAAGGTTGAGGAGTGGGGAGAGTGGCGAAGCTGTGGTTCCGTGTGGTTCACAAACTGCCCTGCAAATCCAGAGTTGTATTCCATTCCTGTCCTTGGCCAAGTTTGATTTGAATTTGCCACGATAAATTAAAATACAACAACCCCTATGACAAGGGGGTGGCTTTCACCCAACAGTGTATTAACAAATAACTTTAAATCATTGTTATTATTATTAACAAGGTCCCTAACATGCATTGTGAATATTCATGGTTTTGAAGAAGCGTTGCATTAAATATTAAGTTATATTCCGTAGCAACTGTAGATGTTGTTGAGAGGCCACCATTGCATTCCAAACCTATTCAACTGGGCCTTGCGTTTAGAAGCAATTTACCACTCACACAAGCGTGGGATGGCATTTATCTCGCATACACAGCTCTGAGCTATTCGTGGGAATTCCACATTCCTATGGCAGTTGCCAGTTTATCAACAAGACCAAGCACCGCTAACTTATCACAAACCGGTCCTGTAATCATATTCTTAAATAAAAGTGAAAGCAGGTTTCGCTGATCAAACAAGTGTGTCTCCGTGCTCTTCTTTATACAACTGTGCACAACTGGTGGACATTCCGCATTGATATGGCAGTGGCCAGTAAGGGCGCATGTCACATCCACTGTTGACTTGTCAAAACGTGGTATGCAGTCTTTAAACAAAGCCATAAGAACAGGTTTGAAGTGACATGGACGGGCATTTTCCACTCAACAATTATTGAGTGGCAAATAAACCCAGAGAGACTGTGACTGTGTAAATAAGAAGATGGTGTTTGCCGATAACACATTACCGTATCTGCTAATGGGAAAAAACTGATCTATATCAATTCAAAACTGTTCACATCAGCTCCCTGCACAGTTTTCAAGGCACCAGAGTAAAAAGTGCGCTCTCCACCCATAAGCAACTCGATCTTTGAAGGACCATTACCTGAAACGTCAGTTTATACGTCTCTCTGTTATAATTAAGAACATAGCCCCGAGTGTTCATTCGGCAAGAGTACTCCAACTTTATATGACGTTTACGCTTAAGTGTTTTTCGACCACCGACTATAGTGACCAGTTACGTACACACCACGTTAAGCAAATATTTCCCCTAGATTGAAACGACTTAATTGGAAAAATGTCCTTAATTTACAAGAACACATTCGTTTACATTGGAATAGATAAGAAACCAAGAGAAATATTAACTTGTTGTTTTAGGCCAGTGAAGCCCAGGATGACATCCTGCAGCCGCATTTCAGAGGTTTGGTTCAATAAACACCTTAACTTGAAAAACGAAGGAAACGCAGTTTCAACGCAAGTTATTTTAAGTCAGACATGCCAGTGACCATATGCGTAAAACATCTAAAGTGATTTTCCCCTTCATTCACTGCTTTAAATGACACGTTAAATACATGTACTGTATTACACTCGACTTATGCCATAGACCCAGAGCAGATTCTAAACGATCACTCGCTCACCAACTCGCCAAATCACTCCACGTGTCATTGAAACCACTTCAGATTAACTTTCTATGGAACCTCTTTTGGCAGTATCAAAAAAGATGCATTGTCTTTCTACTTTTGGCGCTCTCTGGTCTAACACTGGTGTAGGCCAATCCGTTTCAAAAACAATGTACGTAAAATGATCAGATCATACTTTTTGCATGTTTTGCCACAAGTACGTGTCGTTAATGCAGACTTGATGCCTTCCAAAAGCCTTCTATTTGGTGTTTGAACATCTTTACACTTCCTGTTTTATTGCCAGAAAGGGTAAAAACTCTTCTTAATTTTACTTGAGCTTAAGTTATTTATTTCACAACTCCCAGTTTGTTAAGGAGTCGCTCACTTTCCCATTCACTCGTCACTAAAATGAAACTAATCCCAGCAAAATGGAACGCATCTCACCCATTCACGCACCATGGCCATGAAACTATTTCAACTTGAGGTTTTATGCCCCACAGATCCAAGCAGATTCTTAAGCACCACTCACAATCACAATGAAGCTATATCAACATGTTTTTTTTATGCCACAGTTCCCAGAACATCCTTCAGGGCTAACCACTCACTATGACCATGTAAAGAGGTGATATTGACATTTGTGCTCAACATCACCATGGCACAATACGAAACTGAAAATGTAACTTGAATTACGGTGGTATATACAGTAGTGTGTACCATATATCCCATCAGAACCTTAAGAGCCACCACTCACCATAAAACGACATTGAAATGTCATTTCATTTGCTATGCCAAAGAAGCCGGCAAATTCACTATCAACAGAAATCCATTTGAGTTATACTGTACACAGACAACAGAAGATCTTTAAGGGCCACTTACACATCAATAACTGGACATCTGTGAAAATGAGCTTTATAGCTCATCGGATTCCTCCAGTATAAATACATTCAGATTATGACTCGCCAACCACACAAACATTCACTCACCATCACAACCACCACACGTAACTACCTCGCCTGATATACAGGAGGTCGTGGGTTCGATCCGGACCCTGACGCCTATATATTTGGAGTCTGCATCTCTCTCTTCCCGTGGTCGCGTGGATTTTTCTTCAGGTCCTCCGGGTTTTCCCCTCCACATTTCGAATTAACATCACAGCAGAGTATGCTGGCATCTAGAAATGTCCACGTGACGACAAGCCAACTTCGTTGGAGGTTATAATTTGCGACACGGTCTCGGTGGGCCTTCACCTTGGTAACATAAATAAAGTTTATACTCTTTGGTTCTTTCGGTAAAGTCACGTAGGTATACAATTTTATACCTACGTGAAATTTTATACCTACGTGACTTTACCGAAAGAACCAAAGAGTATGGATTCCTGCAGTCACGAAAGCTTCAAATCAAAGAAAGTTTAGTTTACAAGTTTAAATAGTTTGTCCAACACACAACTCACATTAACCCAGAACTGCAACCCCTTATCAGTGCCTACAGTACCTTATTATACCCCAATTCAGACCTTACTGGTCACCCCGTGCCCTTATAAATCTCAACGTTCATCCTAAAAAAAGGAAGAAACACAAACTAAAACAAAAAATGAAAACTCAATTTCCCTGTACAAGAATACGGGTTAAACTGTTTGGGTTGACAGGTATGCTATATTTATGGATTTCTATGTATCTCTGTGGATCTCTATGGATCTCAATGGATCTCTGTCTATAATAATACCCGTCAACCCCTTATCCGAGCCTCCCTTATTACAGATTTTAGTGGTCACCCCGTGCCCTTATAAATATCAACGTTCACCCTAAACAAAAGTCCCATCACAAGGGAGAAACACAAACGGTACCGTCATCTGGTCCAACACCATGTGAGACTAGGCTCTAAGAAAAGCTATCTCGGGTGTGGACCAATCAACTTCAAGGACAATGCATACATTATCAGAGTTGTGTTTTCTGTTTGCATTCCGACCGCAGGTATTGTGGTCAATGCAAACATGACTCCTTGTAAAAAAAGGTGTCAGTTTTGTTGCCAGATAATTTCAAGTTCATTTATTATGTATAGCCCTGTGAGCAATTCGGCTCTTGAATCGGGTACAACCGCAACAAACAAAAAACATGAACAATAAAACATCTTAATGTGACTAAGTGCAAACAGAAAATCCAAGAAAAGGCAGCAAAATCTTCCAGAAAAAAGCACCGTACACCAACGCTGTGTGCAAACATCCCAGTGGGATGCAAGTCAAACAACAACACCCACAAGACAACTTAGATTAAGGCCATCAGTCTTACTCAGTACTACAACAAACATGGCCAAACCAAAACCCTTTTCGAAATCACCAAAATAAAGCCAGATAAAAGGGTCAAAAAACAACTATCAAACAGGACACATTTTTGTTTGCACGTATTGAAAACGTCTGTAACGACAATATAGACCTCAAATTTTTTTTTTTACTCAATTTCACCGTAAAAAATCCGGGGGTGGCAATTTAAAACCCATCTCAAACCTTTTGATCGACGACGGCGCATGCGAGATTCCGCACGGCAGACGACCCCGGGGGCTCTGCAGATTCCACGGTGACCGTCTCCCGGGCCAGCCCGATCTGCAGCTGGAAGGTGACCCCCGTGGTGACCCCCGTGGTGACCTCCCTGCCAGACCCAGCAGCCACGCAGGTCAGGGCGCTGCTGTTACTGCTGCTGCTACTGACGCTGTTGTTGATGGTGGTGGTGGTGGAAGGGTACCGGTTGCACGGGGCCATCGTCAACCCAGGTCCACCGTTCGTGGCCCTCCCGATAGAGAGAGGGCCCGAAGCGTTGCTGCTGTTGCTGCTGATGGTGGTGCTGATGTTGTTGCTGATGGTGGTGCTGGGGGTGGTGGTGGTGGACATTGCCATGGTGGTGGTGGTGGTGGAAGGAAGCTCCAACACGTTGGACGGCAGATGGAATTGTCGCGTTTTGAGTGGTGGTTGATGATGTTTGTTGGCGGCTTTGAGATGTCACGATGTCTTCTTGCCCAAGCCTCCCTTCTTGTTATTAATATCGATGGCGTTTTTGATGTTCGCTGCTGTTGTTGCTTTGCGTTTGATGGCGAAGTTGCCGCTGCTACCGTTGATGTTTATACTCTTGCCAGTGCTGTCACTGCTGCTACATTGATCCTTTCTCACCGCTGTTCTTGTTGCTATTCCTGTTATTGCTGCTGCTACAAATCTCACTGCCACCGCTGTTGCTGTTGAAGTTCCTGTTGTTGATGTCACTACTGTACTGCTTGTTGCTTGCTGCTGCTGCTACTGCTGCCCGTTCAAGTTTCTGTCCTTGACGTCCACGACAGCTCTGCTTGCTGCTGCTGCTGTTGTTGTTGTTACCAGTGCTGTTACTACGATAACCACTGCACGATTCCACTAAAACCACGACCGCCAGCTCGGCAAGAATCACGCAGAGCAGGAGGCCACGACTCGTCTTCACAGCGCCGTGCCGCCCGCGCGGGCCGAGGAGTAGAGGCGGCGGCAGCAGCAGCAGCTGGAGGGGGGGAACATCGCGGCCATGTGGTGGTGGTGGTTGTTGTGGTGATGGTTGTGGTGGTGGTTGTGGTTGTTGTGATGGTTGTTGTGGTGATGGTTGTGGTGGTTGTGGTGGTGATGGTTGTTGTGATGGTGGTGATGCTTGTGGTGGTTGTGGTGGTGATGGTTGTGGTGGTGGTGATGGTTGTGGTGGTGGTGGTGGTGGTAGTTGTAGTGGTTGTGGTGATGGTTGTGGTGGTGGTTGGGGTGGTGGTTATGATGGTTGTGGTGGTGGTTGTGGTGATTGTTGTGGTGGTGATGGGGAAGGCGAAGCCCGGGTCCAGCCCGCGCTGACCCCGTCCCCAGCCCGCTGTCGCTGTCAGCAGCGGCAGCGTCTCTCCTCGCCCCCCTCTGCTCCCTCACGACGGCGATTCGCTCAACTGGCGCGCTGCTGATGGACACAGCGGCAGCAGCAGCGACAACCACAAGATGATGACGGCGGCGGGGGGTGGTGGTGGTGGGCAATGAGCGGTGGTCCGTCCGCCGATAGAATGAAGAGGGAGCCGCCGTCGCTATTGTTCTCTCACTGGACGGGGCGACCCCTCGGCTCCTCCCCCAACTCCTCTTCGACCTCCCCACGCCCGCCACCGTCGGCGCTGCTGAGTTGGCACCCTCCCCCTCGCCCCCCCCCTCGCACCCCCCTCCCCCTCGCCCCCCCCTCGCCCACCCCCTCGCTCCCCCCACCCCCTCGCCCCCCTCGCTCCCTCCCCCTCGCCCCCCCCCTCGCACCCCCCTCCCCCTCGCCCCCCCCTCGCTCCCCCCTCGCACCCCCCCTCCCCCTCGCCCCCCTCGCTCCCTCCCCCTCGCCCCCCCCCCTCGCTCCCCCCCACCCCCTCGCCCCCCCCTCGCTCCCCCCACCCCCTCGCCCCCCCCTCGCCCCCCCCCTCGCACCTCCCTCCCCCTCCCTCGCTCCCCCCTCCCCCTCGCCCCCCTCGCTCCCTCGCCCCCCCCCTCGCTCCCCCCACCCCCTCGCTCTCCCCCCTCGCACCCCCCCACCCCCTCGCCCCCCCCCTCGCACCCCCCCTCCCCCTCGCCCCCCCCTCGCTCCCCCCCCTCGCACGCCCCCCCCCTCGCACCCCCCCTCCCCCTCGCCCCCCCCTCGCTCCCCCCCTCGCACCCCCCCTCCCCCTCGCTCCCCCCCTCGCACCCCCCCTCGCACCCCCCCTCCCCCTCGCCCCCCCCTCGCTCCCCCCCTCGCACCCCCCCTCCCCCTCGCTCCCCCCCTCGCACCCCCCCTCCCCCTCGCTCCCCCCCCTCGCACCCCCCCTCCCCCTCCCTCGCTCCCCCCTCCCCCTCGCCCCCCTCGCTCCCTCCCCCTCGCCCCCCCCCCGCTCCCTCCCCCTCGCCCCCCCCCTCGCTCCCCCCACCCCCTCGCCCCCCCCTCGCCCCCCCCCTCGCTCCCCCCACCCCCTCGCCCCCCCCTCGCTCCCCCCCTCGCTCCCCCCCTCGCACCCCCCCCTCCCCCTCGCCCCCCCCCTCGCTCCCCCTCCCCCTCGCACCCCCCCTCGCACCCCCCTCCCCCTCGCCCCCCCCTCGCCCCCCCCTCGCTCCCCCTCCCCCTCGCACCCCCCCTCGCACCCCCCCTCCCCCTCGCCCCCCTCGCCCCCCCCCTCGCACCCCCCCTCCCCCTCGCCCCCCCCCCTCGCACCCCCCCTCCCCCTCGCCCCCCCCTCGCCCCCCCCCTCGCACCCCCCCTCCCCCTCGCCCCCCCCTCGACTCCCCCGACCGACCCCCTCGACCCCCTCAACTCCCCCCCTCGACCCCCTCCCCCCTCGACCCCACCCCCCCGACCCCCCCCCTCGAACCCCCCTTGACCCCTCCCCCTCGACCCCACCCCCTCGACCCCCCCCCTCGACCCCCCCCCTCGACCCCCCCCTCGAGCCCCCCCTCGACCCCACCCCCTCGACCCCCCCCTCGAGCCCCCCCTCGACCCCACCCCCTCGACCCCCCCCTCGACCCCCCCCTCGACCCCCCCCCTCGACCCCCCCTCGACCCCCCCCCTCGACCCCCCCCCCTCGCAATCCCTCCCCCTCGACCCCACCCCCTCGACCCCCCCCCTCGACCCCCCCCCCCTCGACCCCCCCCCCCTCGCAATCCCTCCCCCCTCGCTCCACCCCCTCGCTCACCCCACCCACCACACCCACCACACCCCACCCCCTCGCTTTAGAAACCCTACAACGCATCGAGCGCACCCGCAATTGGTGGAAGCGCGCGCACCGGAACGCCGCCTTCTCGACGCCCATTGGTCGAAGCTGCAGCCGCGGGAGCCAATCGCGTCGCTCGGGCGCGCGTACGGGCTACGCAATGTAATAGCACGACTCCGGAAAGCTTGGTGGTCGGTGCCAGGTCAGAGGGTTTTTTTTATAATTTGGAGGGAAAGTATCAACGTTCCAAAATATGTTGGAAGAAAAATGGGTTTTTTAGAGGCAGACTTTAGTGTTTTTAGAGGGAGTTTCTCTCAGGGTTTTCTCGCCGGCTCGAAAAAAAGGCCGAACAATTGACACTTTTTTGCTATGTGGCAATGGAGGAATAAAACATTTTAGTTTGAAATGTCACGGTTTAAGCCCCCGGGTTAAGTTGCAGATATAGTTTCACGTGGGTTTTCCCTCAACTTGTGTGACAAACTAAGTGCATCTCACGCTGAAGGTGTTTTATGAAACATCTTAGTTTGATGTGATAGGTTTTAACCCTTTCAACTCGTACCAAAACTGACACCTTTATACAAGGCATCATGTTTGCAATAACCACAATACAAGCAGTCAAAATGCAAACAAAAAGAAACAACTCTGATAATGATATGCACTGTCCTTGGAGTTGATTGGTCCACACCCGAGACAGCTTTTCTTAGAGCCTAGTCTCCATTGGTGTTGGACCTATTACTATATTTTGACACTGGTAAAGGAGGTATCATAGTGTAAATATTTACCCCGAGCTCTCAATACTCTGATAGTGCACTGTTTTTTAGTTGTACGCCTTTTGGGGTCATCTGGTCCAACACCAATGCAGACTAGGCTCTAAGAAAAGCTGTCTCCGGTGTGAACCAATCAACTTCAAGGACAGTGCATATCATTATCAGAGTTGTTTCTTTTTGTTTGCATTTTGACTGCTTGTGTTGTGGTTATTGCAAACATGATGCCTTGTATAAAGGTGTCAGCTTTTGTAGCAGTTGAAAGGGGAAAAACCTATCACTATATTTTGCCACTGGTAAAGGAGGTCTCATAGTATCTTAGTTTGACTCAAGGCCATAGCCATGGAGTCAACATTGGGGGGGGGGACCAAATCTTCCAGGGGTCTGGGCCCCCCCACATAAAAAAAAATCTAAATTTGAAAACGAATTTCCTGCCTAAAATATAAAAAAATTCACTAACACATGAGATGGACTTTTAATGTATTTTTTTACAATAATGTCTAATAGTGTATTGTATTAAATTGCTATTTTTATTTTCTTGTTTCATTGTATGTAATGGCAGAGATTAGGGATTAATAAAATATAACCATAACCACAATCATATGAACATAAATATTTTTATAGCAATATAATGGTGGGACATTTTGAGCATATTTGAATATTGGGGGGGGGGGGGTGGATGTGTCCCCCCCAATATTTATGATAATTACGGCCTAAGTTTGACTTAAGCCAAAGTCTCACACGCCACTATACTAATAGACTCTTGTATACACAAAACTCGCGTGACATCCATCAAGGAGATGGAGCAATGAAATACGTTCGTGCGTATAAAGTAGGTTTCTAGGGGGATTGTTGCAGGGGAGGACTTCATTCAGCATTGGACTAATCGTGCCTGAATATTACGATACATTTCTATCTGTTGCGAATACATGGCAACAATATTTAACACCGATTGTGTCACTTGTAGTTGGTCAAAGACGTGACGACGTCGTGTTATTAGTTATGGTTGCACTTTTTAATGAGAATTTCGGCGGTTCGTGGCCGTATAAATTCATTTTTAGTCAGCAGATACTGACTTTTGTATGTAGGGTGTGTAGGAATATAATCAGCAGATACTGACTACTGTGTGTAGGGTATGTAGGTATAAAGAGTCAGCAGATACTGACTATTGTGTGTAGGAATATATGCCTATAAAATACATCTCTTCAGTTGGGGGAGTAAAAAAAATTTTTTGGGGGGGGGTCAACTTTATACCCCCACATCGGGGTGGGGGGGGGTCCACTTTCTATACCTTATTGATTCAGGCCTTCTGGAAAGGCTTTTGTAATTTAGTTGACGCACAAGCGGAACGCCGGCCTTTCATAACAGAAAGAAGGCTGGAGTTGTCTTGGTTTGTCTGGTGTTTCGGTTTACGTGGGCACCGTGTCATCTCGCAACCTTCGGCTGGTTTTGAGCCTGTTCTCGTAACTTGGATGGGTTGACCACCATGCACAAAACTGGTTGGCACGGGCAGCTGCCCAGTGAACATGGCAACGTTGGGGCCAATGTTGGCGTGTGGTTTGAACCGTTGGACAAACGTTTGCGCGACGTTGGCAAGTTTACCGGGCGAGTTTGGTGGAGTAAAATCCACGTTTTCGCGAAAGTGGGAGATGTCGCCTCGTGCGTAACCTCAATTGAGTAACTTGTAGTACTGCGCAGCATTATTGCAGCATTGCAATATGTTCGGACAATACCAGTTACCGGTTACAATGTTTGAGCTATGGAAAGAAACTGGAGAAAACCATTGCAAAACAGGAGAAGAACATGCAAACTGCACGCAGAAAGGGCGCCCCAGTCAAGAATCAAACCCAGGTCCTTCAATGTTGTGATGTCACCCTCCTCGCACATACTGCACACAACTAACACAAATCCACCACGCGTTGTCATGGAACATCATGGGGAATAGAAAATATTTTGGAAAAACTCCATTAAATGTCGCCACATCCATCGGCCTCTTGGCTTTGCAGACCGATATCATCAAGCACCATCCGTTTAAGCACGCAACCTCTGGAATGGGTTTGACCTTCTGGGTCTCATCGGTAGAGTTGGACTTGTTAGACAAATGCTGGGCTCCACTGTGGCGAGATGTTAACCACCTCGCCAAGTTTACAGGAGCACGTGGGTTCGATCCCGAACCCTAATTCCTGTATATTTGGAGTTCGCATGTCTCTTTCTCTCTCTCTCTCTGTGGTCGTGTGGATATTTCTCTTGGTCCACTGGCTTTTTCCGTCCATATTTAGAAATATGCGTTTAGACTTTAGAGTCTTTTGGCTGCTATAAATGTCCACGTGATAAAGCCACTTCGTTGAGCTATCATTTGTGGCCAGGTCGCTTATGGAAAAGAGCCATAGAGCTCAGTGGGCCTTGTCTGGTTAAATAAAACCAAATAAGTTTAGCGGATGCATTACCATATGCTATTGGCTAGAGCACTCTGTGTAAACTTTATCAGATGGGATCAGTGAGGAGGGGGGGGGGAGACTCGAATCGAATTGCGACTCTTTAACTTAAAAGAGTGACAAACCTGATGTTTGTGGGGGTTTTTTCTCTACAAATTATTTGGGTGACGCTGCTGCTACAACGAGGAAAATGAACAACAACCAAACGCAACACATTCTTCACTGACACTACCTTATTTTTGTTTAAATAAAGTGGGGACAGTTTCGGGAAATGTGCTACAAAGAAAGTGGTCATGGCTCGAAACGTCGCATATTACTTATGCGGCGTATGTATCATTCATTTTTTAAGGTGACAGTGTTGAGTTTTATGTTTGTAAAGAGGAATTGTTGCCGCCTAGTGGCGATTGTGCGGTGGTACAGCGATCGATCGCAGTGGCGACGTCGTTGCAGCAATGCATCGGCATCATCGACTAAAATCGATTTAACGCAACTCTACAAGTGTCGAACAATAAATACTGTAGATCCATCCTCGGTTCGTGTTATTTACCGATTGCACCACATTATGGAGGGGAGGGGGGTTTGCCCCTGCTAAGACTCAATTCTTAAATTGAATCGTGAAAACTCGAATTGTACCAATTTATCTTCTTGGTTATTTCGGTAAAGTCACGTAGAAGGGAATTAATAAAATAATAAAAATAAAACATAATAAAATAAAAGTGAGAATTGTATTTTATTATGTTTTAGTTTTATTTATTTCATTATTTCCCTTCTACGTGACTTTACCGAAAGAACCAAGATGAATCCCTGCAGTCATGAAAGCTTTAAATCGAAAATGTACCAATTCATTTCTTGCAATTCATCACTGGGCTAAAGTGCTGCACCGTCACTTTAGCCGTGATGCACAATGTCCATGTTGTTGAACCATGTGTCATCGCAGGTAGCGTGCAATGATTGAAAACGTTATTCTTCAGGCATATCCATCCGTACGTTGTGTTCCATTACGTGCATTGTTAAAAATTCAAACAGAAACACTCCAACCTGCTCTAATCCGCCGCCTTTTAGTTTCAAATAGTTGTGTGTATCTCGACATTTTGGTCATGGAGAGGTACATGTTAGGAATTACTCTGAGAGACAGGAAGAGGAATGCTTGGGATTGCGTGGATTAGGGAATATGTGCAAAGTTAAGAAACATCGCATTGACCGAGTGGGAATAACATTCGTGGCAATGGGCAGGACACGTTGATGGAAGGGATGGCTGATGGATAAGACTGGCAGCTGAATGGTAGCCAAAGAGGAAAGAACATCTCGAGATGTCCACCATGGAGATGGAGTGATGCAATAATCCCCTGTGCAGGAGCTATAAGGATTATTGCATCACCATGAAAGATGGTGATGGCATGGGCCCGCCTTCATCCACCAGTGGATAGGCCATGGCTGTTACCGCTTAATTAAGGCCATTGGTTTTTTCCCCTCAATTATCTACCGATGCTCTCATTAAAGCTATGGATGCAAGGGCAAATAAAGGACCGGGTGGCTAAGTGGACTGATATTCGGTGAGAGCATTGACTTGGCATCGCCGAGTCCCTGGCTTCGAAGCGAGGATTCAGCTGCCCATGGATAATTTGGTGTCTCACGTGGAGTGAGCTGATGGTTTCAGCCCGGTCACCAACGACTGTTGGATTTTCGCTTAGTTTGGCAAAATTTCAAATCGGATACATTTTAAAAAGCACGTGTTGAATGACATGCGACATACATACTTAGCATGTGTTTGTAAAGCGGCCCAATGAAGCCAAATCAGACTTTCCACGACAGTGTCTTCCACGGTCGTACTCTCACACAAGATGGTGCACTGCTTGCTGTGAGAGTTCTGAATGGAAATGTCTTCATCTCATGCCGTGCATTATGCCAATCGCGCAACTGGAAAATCATTGGGAGAGACAAGAGGAAACCGTGCAAACACTTTGTATCATTTGCATTTTAATACATTTGGAGGAGACACTTCGTCTGTGGCAGGTTTTGGTAACACATGAAGCAACACCATGACTGACACCCGCATCAAACACAAAAGTCATTACCAAAGCTGTGCTTTCCATATCTAACACTCGCACGTTGTCAAATGCAATAGGTCACCGACAACTTGAAAAAATATATATAAACGAGTACGGTTTCGCTTAACTCGGCCGTGTCAAATTCGGGGACAGATGCAGTGAGTGAACCAAACAATCTGGATATGCACACCCGGGCTACCGACAGGAAATCATTGTTAGCCCTCTGCTACTCATCAAGGTTATGTTTAAAACACCCTTAAGGCCATGATGCATTCAGGAAATGTTTAAACAATTGCCACCGGCAACGCACTTACTCTGACCAACAATGGCAAACTTGGTGTAGCAACGGTGCGGAGTGACATGCGTATTTTGCGGTTGGGAGGTGACCACGTTTGTCCGGACGTTTTGTCGCTGCAGTGTGCTCGCGTAGGCCACTCGGCCTTCTTGTAAGCACTCCAACCTGCCTTGGATTTGCAGGACATTTTTTTTTTGACATTTCAATGGACAAGCTTCGACGAGCAGATACTTGGTTCATTCTAGATTTGAAGTTTTCGTGACTTGCAAGGATCCATACTCATTGGTTCTTTCGGTAAAGTCACGTAGGTGAAAAAATAAGAATTAAAAAATTAGAAATAGATTAAATCACGACGTTTCGGAAGCAACACAAACTTCCGTCATCAGGTGGGACAACCACAGCAAGAAACAAAGTTACTCTTTGCCCACTACAGTGATCTAGTTTCTAGCTGTGGTTGTCCCACCTGATGACGGAAGCTTGTGTTGCTTCCGAAACGTCGCGATTTAATTTAGTTATTTCTATTTTTTTTTCACCTACGTGACTTTACCGAAAGAACCAAAGAGTACAGATACTTTGTGTCGAGCCCTTCCGTCCAAGTGTCCTGCGAGCTGCGACCAAGGTTGGAGGCTCACTCTGGCGGTGAGCGGCCTCCGCTAGCACAGCACACCGACACAAGATGACCGTGCGATGGTGCAGATAGGCGGAGTCCTGTCCGAATAGCGAAAACCGTTCACGACCGCGTAGGTTTTTTTGCGGTTGTGCCGTAGCGGCTCACTCCGGATCGCGCTATGTGTTTGGCACGATGTCCGACGTTTCGCTCCACGTGCTGGGAGCTTCTTCAGGAATTTCAGTCCTGAAAATCGCTCTGAGAACTAAACCACAGCTTGTTTAAATTAGGTTTTTGGTGAACAATGATTTGGGTCTACAGAACACAACCTCAGTTGGCCATATGACCTCTGCCAGTTATTCGATTGGAAGATGCCATCCCAGTGGCCTGCGAGACGAAGAAACGGCGATCGCATTTCGTCCACATTTTTTGCGACTTCAATTGTTCTTATAATAGTGGTGCGACAACTATTTTTGGTGACAGTTGCCAGAAACGATTACCTAAGTGTATGGGAATATCACTCCGATGGCTATAACCACAGTGCACAAAGCAACGTCAACTACAATTGGTAATAACGGTAAACAGAATGACAGACTTCTATTGTGTATGACTATCACAACTTCATCTCTACATTTACGGCCAATTCTAGAAGACAAAAAATCTATTACATAAAATGGCATTGCCATTAAACGTACCAATTAAATTCATAACATGGTCACACACACACAGACAATTATGTGTAAGGTATTAAGTAAAACGAGAGTGATATGCATGTATTCATCACGTTTGTAAAATGTAATCATTCGGGAAATAAAACATCACTGTAGCACATCGTTTAAAAAAGTTTGTACTTTTCAATGTTTCGTCGAACGGCTGCACTCGTAATGGCTTACTGCAAGCTTAAGCAATTGCACGCTCTTAACGAAGCATACGTCAGGTCAACCGCAGATCTCCAAACCATACGAGGCAGGAAGGACAGCCGCAACCGTAACCAACATCGCGCGACCTCTCCCGTCGAGTCTCACGCCAACCCGGGATCAAGTTTTCCGCGAACAGATCTACGCTGGGGTAAACACGAAATCGCACTCGTCGTTCGTAAACACGAATTGCTTGAACGCAACCGTGCCTACTGCTTCTGAAAAGCAGCTAAACTTATCAGTGCCTCCCACTGTTATCAATGCCTCCAGGAACGGTGCTCAGAATTTTGACTGGTGCATTGTCCGTCCCGTCACCGAATGTGTGCGTGAACGTAAGGGGAACGGACACTGTGGCTCGCAGGCTGTGAAAGATTCCTCGACTTGCCCGACCGTCACAGAGATGCGATGAAATGTCATAATTCGGGTTCATGACAATGTATTATTTCTCTTCGCAAGAGCGCATTTAGATGCGGTCACATTTACACGCTTTCGTCATCATCATCATCAGCAGCCTTGGTTAATTCACTGCTGGATGAAGGCCTCTCCCAAGACACCGCCATCTTTCACGATCCTGCCATGCAACGATCCACTAGCACCAGCTCGGCAGCTGATTTCGTCGTTCCACGTCCATGACGGACATATTCTGGGACCACGTTCCGTCCCTCAGTTGCCACTCCCATCATTATTCGTGACCATCGCTCACCATCCCTTCTAACAACTTCTAGATTTGAAGCTTTCGTGACTGCAAGGATTCATACTCTTAGTTTTGTCGGTAAAGTCACGTAAGTAAAAAAAATGAAATTAAAATTAATAAAAATAAAATAATAAAAATCACGACGTTTCGGAGGCAACACAAGTCTCCGTCATCAGGTGGGACCGTCACAAGCAGATCTGGTCCCACCTGATGACGGAGACTTGTGTTGCCTCCGAAACGTCGTGATTTTTATTATTTTATTTGTATTAATTTTAATTTCTTTTTTTTACCTTCTAACAACGTTTGCTGCCTGAGCCCACTTACTTTTCTAAGCAGCTTTAGGTGATGTAAATATCCTGCGTGCGTTCTCGAATCCACGTATTCCTCTCTCCATCTTTAAACATAATTCACAACATGCATCGCTCTATGCTTCTCTTGCTCCATTTCGGTTTTTTTTCAGAAGATGGATTGATGAGATCGTCTCACGTGCAGGACTGGGAAGGATCGTGGGGGGCCCGCAGGACTGAGTGATGGCGATAGCGAAGGGTTGCCTCGATCCAGCAGTGGCTAGCAATTTGCTGACGATGATGATGACAGTGCTGTTATGTTGGATGCAATGCGTCCAGGTGACCTCCTGCAGCCACTAGAGGCCGCCACATTCACTGCAATATAAAACAAAAATCTATCGATTCTTGAGCTTTTCAATCGTGACAATTCATCGTCGCATCTGGTAAACTTGCACTATGGGTAAACCCAGGATTGGAAGTTTGAGAGGTCAGGCTCACAGTAAACATTCGCATGAACTAAATAGCTTATTGATAAAAGAAAAAATATTTAGGAGTGCTGTACACACATTTAAACAAGGTTTTGAAAATTATCACTTTATGGCCAGGAGAGCTCATTTGAAAGTGGTTGCAAAATTATTTGGCCACACCTTGTGGAAGATTGTTTTAAAACCTTTGGCCAGACTACCAAGCTCACACAATTGAGATCCTGCTGTGAGATCGAAGCATCCGCGTCTGATTAAACCGGGTTCTCAAGTGTATTGAGTTGTCTCAACCTGGTCACTATGAACTGGAATAAAAAAAAAGCATCAATAAATTTAGGGATGCAATTAATTTGCCTTAATTCCCACTAAGAATTGAATATACAATTGTGACTGTCATAATCTTTGGCTTTTTCGGCAAAGTCACGTAGGTAAAACAATCAATCAAATAAAATAAACGAAAATCACTCAATTAAATCACAACGTTTCGGAGGCAACACAAGCTTCCTTCATCAGGTGTACAAAAATAAGCTTGTGTTGCCTCCGAAACGTCGTGATTTAATTTAGTGGTTTTCATTTATTCTATTTTATAGATTTTTTACCTACGTGACTGTACCGAAAAAACCAACGAGTATGAATCCTCGGAGTCACGAAAGCTTCAAATCTGTGACTGTCATGTTACAAACATTGCTGAAGTAGGGTGGGTGAGAAAGTGCTGCCACCCCCCCCCCCCCACCACCCACACGACTGTGTGCACCATCAGTCACTGGAAGGGATCTCAGAAGTATTTCTGTGATATCCATTTCCTCGGGCCATTCTCTAACACAGAGACCCAACACATTTGTAAATGACAATGGCTTAAAAGAAAAAAAAATACATACGATAGGTAACATTTCAGGCAATGGCCCTTTTTCTCATGAATGTGTTTTTGTTGTTAATTGTTGCGCCACTGGCAACGCAGCAGCAACAGCGTCACCAAATAATGTGTCTGACATGGAGGGTCGCACTCCCGTGCGACAGATCCGAGTGGATGCTTCATCACATGACGTGACAATCGTGAGCACGAGCAGGGTAAAACTGAGGAAACATATTTTTTGTTAAAACACAAATCGGAATACATTTGAGGAAAAATATTTTTAAAGAATATTTTTGGGGCCCTTTTTGTGAAGGCCCTTCAATAATTCTGAGCTCACATCACCCAACCTTGGAAGCAGGACATGAAGTTCAAACTTGTGTTGTTGTTGTTTGTAAACGATGGGCCGCTGGTTGTGTGTATGTGTGTGGCACATTTTCGTGAAAAACACAATCAGCTCCCACTTAAAATAAAAACGCCAGCGACCGTCACCATACGAGCACTCCAATTGGTCAAAATCAGCTGCCAGAACGGCTGTAAGTCAAGCCGTGAGGGCCTCACACCAATGCCACGACCGATGACGTGATGCTTTGCCCAAAAGCCTCAGCAAATTATTTTAATGGTCTTATTTTTGTAACTTTTTTTTGTGCATGCATTGGACTAAGATTGTTTCGGGATAAAGAGTTTTTGTTTTTTTCTACTGGAACAAAACACAATCTACAGAAGACAAAGTTCTTTACCAAGGACTAATCCCATACACTACTTGTACTTTTGATTAAATGTGCCCAATGTTTATGATAATTATATTGTGTATTTAACGTGATTAGTTATGAATAGCGAAAATGGCACCTTTCTGTGTTGATTTTTTATTTGAATTATTTCCCAGAAGATTTTTGTTGGTTATCCAACCCAATCACCTCTCACGAAGAAAAAAAATCGAATTCACAAGACCAAAAATTATGGTTACCTATAAATTTGAAATTTCGAGATACAGGGAAATTATGTGGGTCAGAAGGTGCAATTGATTCAAGTGGAAAAAAAGAGATCAAGAGGAAGGCAGAAGAAGAGGTGGGGGGGGGGGGGCGATGTGGTGCGATCAGACACGGAAAGAGAGATAGAGCAGGACAGGACAGCGTGGAGAAGGTCGGCAGGGACCGCGGACCCCACACGAGTGGGACTAACGCGTGGAAGAAGAAGATTTAATAAATGTCTGTACATTGACCAGTTTAGCCACGTAAATCTTATTTTTATAAAGAGGGACCGTTTTTGTTTTCGACGGTTGCTTAAATAAACTTCGAATTATACTGTAGCTTAGGTTTCCACGGCTGTGCCGTGTGGCGCTCCGTTTACTTTTTTCGTTGGGTCATACCGCGTGCTGTTTGGCACAACGTCCAGCGTTCCGCTCCACATGCCCGCGAGCTTTAATCCCATTCCTGAAACAGCTGCCGGCACGTGGAGCAAAACGTCAGACATCGTGTCGCACAGCACACGGCATCGACTCGAAAACACATCGGGGAGCTATCCAATATTACTCACTCGCAAGGCAGCCCTTCGTTTTGTTTTGTTTTTCACTTCGTGGAAACTCTCGCGAAAGCAAGCAGAACGGTCGGATCAACCTAACCTACCTCGTAAAACGGTCAGATGACGACCGACGGAGTTCCCAGCTCGTCAAGCGGCGACGTTCCGAACGTGCCGTGCCCCGCGTAAAAGCCATCGCGCCCCTGGAGTGCCCCACACGTGAAGCAAAGGTGTCACTCGTCATACAGAATTACTTGTTTGCAAGATCACCAACAACGCAGCACCAGGGGTTATGTGGGGAAGGGCAAATTTAAAAGGTAAAGGAGCGGCCCTGCAACTACCGTTGGCGGAAGGGCCTGCGCTCTCAAAAGAGCTCGAATCAACAATTGCCAAAGCTCTCTGGCTCCTATATTGGGGCCACAGAACTCTCTCGACTGGGGGGAATGGAAGGTGGACGAAAGCGAACTTGTAAAACAAACACAAATGAATTTCCAACAAAACCACCGTTGGACGTTTGGATCACCGAACGCTCGTGACCGTATGAAGGTGCCGGGCTGGTGCAGGCCGCCGCTGCCGCCACCGCTGCCCCTGGCGTCACCACGGCTACCGGAAGACCTCCTTGTTGACCCAGAGGAGGGTGCGCGTGTCGTTGGGCTTGCACTCGTAATCGATGGCCGCGAAGCTGTTCCCCCACTGGCAGTGGTCGCGCTTGGGGTAGTTGTAGAACTTGCACTGCCACACGGCCTCGAACGTTCCGATGTCCTCCAGCTGCGCAGAGGTTCAGAGCGAAGCGCGACAGACACACGCGGGCGTCACATTAGTCGTCATCGTCGTGTCATCGCCGTCGGCTACGATCTAATTTCATTGAAATATTAATTGTACACTGCGTCCTTCACGTAAATTGCACCTCGCAATAATCGCCGAGGAACCACGGACGGGGCTGGAAGGCTGCCAGGAAATGAATTGCGCAGCCGACTTTCTGCCTCCGTGGAGGAAGCGAGCCGCGCGAGACAATTCCTGAAGAATCTTCCAGCTCGTGGAGCGAAATGTCGGACATTGCGCCGAACAAGGCGCAGTAACAACCCAGAAGCACATCGGAGGGAGCTGTGCAGGACGACCGCGAACGCATGCGTAGTAGGAATTATAATTGTAATTTACGGTTCTTTGTCAACCCACTGCTGGATAAAGGTCTCCGCACGGCCCAGGATCGATCCAGATATCACTCGTCACGGTGTTGGCCGTAGACCGGAGTCAAACTCAGGTCATTGGGTTCATAGCGCAGCACGCGAGCCACTTTACCATTGGTCCAGCACCTGGGGATTTGTGATATTTTCATCCCGGATCTATCGCAGCAGGCGGTGGCACCAACCGGTGTTAGGTAACGTGGGTTTTCACTGGATGCTCCACTTTCCTGCCACGTGTGCAAACGCTCGTTAAAATTGAGTTGGCCAAGCATCCCAATATAGGATCGCAGAGCTTGGGAAATTGTTGCCGCTGGTTCTGACTGCCTACCGACTCGTCTTCGGGTTTGCCGTGCCTCGTAACCTCTCTCTCTCTCTTTCCGAGAGTGGACAAAAACTTGTACGCATCACTAATTCTAAATTATTTATTACAACTAATTATTATATATTTCAGGGTTTTTTTTACCTACGTGAACATTTACATAGTCGCATGTTTATTGCGCATAAAACTTTTTTTTTTATGATTCCAAAACACACAACGGATTACAGCAAAGTTGGAATGCACAATGTGGGTTTTATAGAAGTGAATAGAATGTGAAAAACGTAAATTATTATGATTCAAAACCTCAGAACATCTGAAAGAAATAATGTGCCACGATGCCAGTTGTGTTTTTTGTGAAGTATGTGGCAAGGGGAGGAGGAGGGGGGGAAAGAGGTCTCTGTCTCGGCCTCAAACAATCATTGGCACAATTCTGCAGATTTCTGACTTGCCAAAAAAACGCTGCAGTCACGAGCGTGCGTTAAAAAAAATTTACCACTTCCCTTACTCTGCGAACTTGTGATGTTTTTCAAGGAACCCCTCCAAGGACAAAGGCACTACACACGCCCCATCCCTCCTCAAATCACATGACGGTTTCCCAGCGTAGTATTTTTTTTTTAAGACGGCGAGATTGGAGGCCCTGACTTTGCATAGTAAATGACAGAGAAAGAAAAATTACATAAACACAATAAATAAGACTCCACACAGTGCATTGGCGCAATGCGCCATGGAACCCAATGACCAAAGGCCGATTCCCGGACACTGACAAAATCAGTGGCGAGTGATATCTGAACCGGTTCTGGGCCTCCTCCTAGGTCGACTCGGCCATAAACGAGGTGCAAAAATCTGAACTAGGGAGACAAAGGTGACCACCGTGTTAGTCCTGGCCACACCACCCCTTCGTGTGCCGTGCCAGCCTTGATAGGCGCTCACAAACACAACAAGCCCCACCAGTGTGTACGGCTACAAGCGAGGCCTTTTTGCTTTGCGTCACCAGGTGGTACAATGTACGATGCTCGGCCACGGCCAACATCACTGGTCCAGTGATCTGTGAACTGGTCCTCACCCTTTAATGACCTGCACCGACTAGCAATGTGAAGTGTGGGTCAAATAACGGCTGCAGCCAGGTCGGCGTGGTGGAGGCCTTCATCCAACAGCGGATAGGCCAAGGGGCTGCGCACTATTGCAGTCTTGATATTAAATGAGATTCATGGTTTTTTTTGCTGACCAGTAACGGCGTACGGCCGGCGCCCGGCGAATGGCCAGCGTTAAAACCATCCCCTCGCTTCTCAATGCAAGCGCGAACTCCGCCCTCCCCCCACGACTGGACACCACGTCCACAATCGGTCCCCCCTCAAAATATGTTCTGACATCGTGGTGCAGTTGAAAGCTGGTAATAATCGCGCCCCTTGCTCGCAAGTGCGGGTGTGCTTACATCAGAAGCACGCTTGCATCCAAACTTGACACTGCATTTGCCTTCCTTCGCCAATGAGAGCAACGTAAGGATGATTATCTTCTTGGTTCTTTCGGTAAAGGCACATAGAAGGGAAATAATTAAATACTAAAAATAAAACATAATTAAATGCAATTCTCACGACGTTTCGGCCACAACGCAAGCAGCCATCCTCAGGTGAAGAACAGGTCTGTCGGAAAGACAGCTGAGAATTGTATTTTATTATGTTTTATTTTTATTATTATATTATTTCCCTTCTACGTGACTTTACCGAAAGAACCAAGAAGATGAATCCCTGCAGTCACGAAAGCTTTAAATCGAAATTTAAGGATGATTATGTTTGGAAAAAAAGTAAAGGTGCAGCTCTGAAATTTCCTGACGCCAATGCCGGGGAAAGGGCCTTCACAACAGGGGAGCCTTTAGTGCAGTGTTCTTCACTCATTTTCAGAAGGTGGGGGGGGGTGGGGACTTTCGCCAATAAGACATCACCAGTGTGAGGGCTGCCACACCATTTGAAACCATCGGGGTTTGACAAGAAAACGATAATGACGGGTGAGTGTTCTCACAATTTGTGTATTGTCGGGGGGGGGGGGCACACATCAGGGGGCCGCACTAAAGGCCACCAGGGGGCCGCCAGTGGCCCGCGGGCCTCGCAATGAAGAGCGCCGCTCGAGCGAGGCCAATATATTTTGGGCCTCCTCTTCCACGCTCGACAGACATGTTAGAAGGGTTGGGGGTACCCACACTTTACCCCACCACACGTGACCTGCATGCCGCATATGGTTGCCACCTGCTTAATTTCTTGTAAATGTATTCTTATTTTTTAAAACATACTTCATGCTGCACATGGTTGCCACCTTTGAATTGAACACAATTGTAGGAAAAACACCACACGCTTCATGTTTTTTTTCAACGTCGTATATCCTGAAAAACATTTTTTTGAGAGAATCGTAATCAAATCATAAGAAGAATAAATGCATCAAGAAGGCTGTCTCTGTTGTAGGCCAGTCGGTTTCAAAGACGATGCAGATATTACCAGAACATGTTTGTTAACATGTTCACCACAAGTACGTGTGGTTAATGCAGACAAGATTCCTTGCAAAAGGTGTATATTTGTTGTTTGAACATCTTAACACAACTCCTGTTTCATTGCCAGAAAGGGTAACACCAATTCAAAATTTTTCATACTTTGATACTGGTAATCAAATCACTTCACTGTCTTTTAAAAAGGCAAAATCAGTACCAAATTGCACCCAGGACCCCAGTAAACATGTAACGTTGAACAAAAACGTTGGCATGAGGTTGGAACCAACCTTACCCCAACGTTGGCACTAACGTTGGTACAACGTTGGTGCAACGTTAGCCCAACGTTTCATGTTTTCTCAGGCGCAGAGGTACCGACTCATTCAGGGCCCTAAGCAAAATTAATTTACGGGCGCTTCCATCGACTCCAAACATATATATGCTGATCAGACTACGAGCACATCGCTTTGAATCACATCACAGTTGTTGAGAGATTATGTATTACATTCCAGTATGATAATTGTTTTTTTACCCTCCTATTTGGCAACAAAACTGACACCTTTTTTACGAGGAGTCATGTTTGCATAGACCACAATACCTGTAGCCATAATGCAAACAAAAACATAACTCTGATAATATATGTACTGTCCTTGAAGTTGATTGGTCCACACCCGAGACAGCTTTCCTTAGAGCCTAGTCTCATATGGGTTGGACCAGATGACGCCAAAAGGCGCACAACTCAAAGGCAATGCACCATCAGAGTATGAGAGCTCGGGGTAAGCATTTACATCATTGGAACCTCATTTGCCAGTAAAAAATATGATAATTGTTTTTTTACCCTTCTATCTGGCAACAAAACTGACACTTTTTTTACAAGGAGTCATGTTTGCATAGACCACAATACCTGCAGCCATAATGCAAACAAAAGGTGTCAGTTTTGTTGCCAGATAGAAGGGTAAAAAAACAATTATTATATTTTTTACTGGAAAATGAGGTTCCAATGATACATTCCAGTACTTGACAATTCTTTTTTTATCAGGGTTATTTGAATGCTGACTGGTTGGTTCTTAGTTTGAGATGATACTTGTATTTGCACCCATATTTCTTTAGCGATGGCTCTTTTGAGCCGCTCAAGGCCCTAAACGTTTGCGTACAATGCTCGTGCACAGCTCCACCACCGCTGACGAGGGCCCATCTGGAATACAAGTGTAGACTCCCTAAACTCACTTGGCACGGGTGGTGACCACAGTGCTGCATATGAAACAAACTGTCTGTACTAAGCGTGCCTTTTGTTTTTTCCCCTGCTGCTGCTGCTGTATGTACATGTGTTGATGAAAAATAAAAATAGGCTTTACCTTATATTCTTGGTTCTTTTGGTAAAGTTACGTAGAAGGGAAATAATAAAATAAAAATATCACACCTGACGATTGCTTGTGTTGCAGTCGAAACGTCGTGAGAATTTTTATTGTTTTATATTAATATTATTTTATTATTTCCCTTCTACGTGACTTTACCGAAAGAACCAAGAATATGAATCCCTGCAGTCACGAAAGCTTTAAATCGAAATTTTATTATGTTTTATTTTTATTATTTTATTATTTCCCTTCTACGTGACTTTACCGAAAGAACCAAGAATATGAATCCCTGCAGTCACGAAAGCTTTAAATCGAAATTTTATTATGTTTAATTTTTATTATTTTATTATTTCCCTTCTACGTGACTTTACCGAAAGAACCAAGAAGATGAATCCTTGCAGTCACGAAAGCTTTAAATCGAAATTTTATTATGTTTT